ACAGGTCCACCCCGCCCCCCTTGGTTGGTCTTCCTTGCTTGGATAATGTCCATTTGAGGAGAGACCAGCTGATACCAGGAACAGCAAACGAGGTCCCCTCGAATATTTTGGCAAATCTATGCAGAAACTGCCGATCGTCCCCCAGTATCCAGCCTTCCTTTCTTTATAGGGAATAGAGACTGCAATTCCCAGCCCCCCTTGCCACTGGGTAGGGCTGTGTGACTACATTCTAACTAAGGGACTTACTGGTGACATTTTCAGAAAAGGGGAACATCACCCTTCATTACCCTGCCCCCCTTGGCCCCCTGATGCCTGGAGTTGGATGGGATGGCTGGGCTTGAGCAGCCGTTTTGGGTCATGAAGTAGAGCAGAAAGCAGATACTGAGGTGAATTTTGCAGCGAGATAGATAGAACCTGGGTCCTTATGAAAAAGGAAAAAGGAAAAACCCTTTTTACCCCTAGAACACCACCCCAGTCCTGGGTAACTTCCTGTTTAGACCTTGTTTACAATGAGAGAGAAGTAGGCATCTGTCCTGTTTAAGCCTATTTGGGGTTTTCTGTACAATGTGGACCGAATCCTTCTATCATATTATGCTAACCTGAGGGCCAGTTCTTGGTCAGGGTGGCGATCCTAGCACAGACCTGGATAAACCAAATTCACCGAGATGAACCAACTTAAAAGCACTAGAGCCGGGTGAGTAGGCAGCTTTCAGAACAGACTCCCCATCCCCTTCACCGCCTCCTTATTTGGTCTGACCATGTGCTGTGCAGGGTGTCCGAACATGACAGGGCTTGCTTGTTAATTCATTCAGTAAAGCACTGAGTGCCTACTGTGTGCCAGGCGTTGTGTTAGGCTCTGAGAACCCAGTGAGAGCCAAAGGGCACCAACCCATGACCTTTTGGTACAGAGGACACTGCTCCACCCCATGGGGCCTCACCAGCTAGGACTGTGCCTTTCTCTTAAGCAAGTGACTAGTCCTGAAACCTTTAAGGGGGCAGTGCTCTGTGAGGACAGAGGTCTATTCTCAGGGGAAAATAATACAGCCAGCTGTTACGGGAGACCCACGATGGATGGCATGATACTTGAAGGAGTTGTGTTTCCTCCAAAGCGAACCTGTGCCACCTGCCTCTCGCCAGCTCCGTTCTACGCCATCGCCGTCACCGTCACTGCCTGGGCATCAAAGGGCATTTGTCTTCTGTTTCCCTGGATTCTAGTGAGGGACACACAGCAGCGCCTGGCTTCTCCCATCGCCCCTGCAGAGTTTCTTAGCGCGGGTTTACCTTTGCTCTTTCTATACCAGAGACAATAGTATGCAGTCCACCGCCTGCACTGTAGACTCTGAACAGACTCGAACTGAAACTGACATGCTACCCTTATCCCCTCCTCAATGGCTGCTGTAAAATCAGTCTTTCCTTCTT